TTTAGGGTAATTATTAAATATAACTAATATGGCTAACTCGCATTGCCTTTAAATGTGAACGCGCTGATTTTGCAGAATTGTCTACCCTCACTCAGCCTCACCGTATACATTCAGATACCGAAACATCCTCACGGTCTAATTGGCTTATCAAGCATTTTTTTGGGAGGCAGAGTCGACATTCTCACTGATGGTTGAAACTGGGCAGTGTGGATGAGTGATATTCATAGAAGTAGATGAGGCTGAAGATGTCGGATTCGGAGGAGAAGACCAGCGCAACCATGCTACGCGAGCCCGGTCGTAAGCCGCAGTAAAAGAGTCGAGTGCTGGGCGAACATCAAGAAGTGCGAATTTATAGTCTTCATCTACGAGGCCGCCATCGTAATAGTCAATCACGTAGCGCACTTCACGGCCACATCGATCGACGATCCAGTCGTGACGATCGAAGGGGAGTGGATAGCTGATAAAAAAATAAACCCAATAGCTCAATTTCTAAAAATTGATAAATTTACAGCCAAGTATTGAAAAACTTGATTGGGAAAAATATTCCCATTCATTCCGAAACGAAATAAGGTTTACGCAAATGTACTACGCACTTCACCGTTCCCAGATTATGATCAAGAGCTAACAGTAATTTAATAAATGATGCTACTAGAATTCACTAAGAAGGTAAAGCATCAAGGAGCTTATTCTTAGTGGTTAAAAGCATTTCCAGAGATGCAGGAACAGGTAAAGAGAAGTAGTAGGCAAATACTTCTATCAGGCTCAATTATCTTTGTGAAGGAATTCATGGGTTATAATAGAATGTATCCCCGTGGGGAAGATAGAGGCACAAATGATGTTTGCTACTAACCCAGTGCCTAATAGATTTAGCTTACGAATACTGACCAGATGGTCGTAATTCTTTGAGAAAACATAAGAGCGTATCTGAATAGTGTTGTTGAATGATAATAAAGGCATACCTACTCCAATCTTATTGATAGATGATAATATTTTTATGTCAAGGCTATAAAAAACATAAATAAAATGGCGAAATGATGGGCGTGGGTGATAAAGTAGCAAGTTAAAGTTGCAAAGTTTATTTACGTTTAATGAGACTAAGGCTGTATTGAAGAGAACAGCTAAAAAA